GACATCAATTCTTCGTGGACGGGACCTATGTGGCAGTTAACCACCCAGAAATATCCAGACTATCCAAACTTAGTTCGTTCACAGCCGGTTCAAAGTTCGTTCACAGCCGGTTCAAACGAGAACCTAACATCTTACCGGTTCATTATTGGTTCATAGGTCATTATTCTCCATGTCATTTCTCTTTAGTTAGCAGACTAATTCTCACTGCTATGCTTATTTCTTGGTATTTGAGGGTCATTACCTTCTACTTTCTATCACACAAAAGTAAATGTGTAATATACAATCATGCTATAACACATCGCAAAAGTTGGCCCATAGAAAACCATCAAAATATCGCGTCGTACCTCTGGAACCCGGCTTCCCACCGCTGCTCCGAATAGATGTGGCATAATGCCGTCCGAAGTCTGTGGTCTGATTACGACGACGAGCATCTGGAGTTCCAGTTGCCACGGACATGCCTGAAAAAAGTTCATTCACAAATGCATTCCACTGACCCAAAGGCCTAAATCTACCATCAGCTGTGAGAAGGCTGTCAATTGTTAACAAGCTAGTCATGCTACCACTTGTTCCTCCCAAATCACCACTGCCCGATGGTGACACATGCGCGAGGCGGGCAAGATAGTGTTCCTGAAAGAAGTAACCCATAGAACACTGCTACAACTCAAAAGGTAGCATGCACAATGGCGAAGCAACGGGTAACTTCAGAAGTTCACAGCCTCCCTATACTGTATCGCTAGAAAATACATAGCTCATTATGGTAACTTGGGATTCGTTTTGAAAAGAGGAACTCCTTTAACGCCACGCTTAACTTTGATGGTTGATTCATCGATACTTCAAAAAAGGGAAAGCAATCGATAGTATTCTATTTTCTCGGCCCTTTTTGGTCAAAAAGATAACGCTTATTTCACGGTTGCTCACGCACCGATGCCTGGAAGAGTGCTGAATGCTAACAGACGTGAACCAAAGTACAGCAGCAATAGGTCAAAGAATCGGCCGATTCATGGCTCATTTGTGCACTTCTTCTCAGAATGCTGTGCTTTACAGCTATATTTGAATAACAAAAACAAAACATTTTGACTTGTTTTTATTTACTGCATGTGTCCGGCACATGGAAGAACATAATTTCAAAGCCAAACGAAAAAAATGATCAAGCTGGTACTTTAGGTAGCACACAACTACTTAAAAGTTAAAAATAAAGTTATTTTTGTTTTTGTTTGTTACTGCTGTTTTTGGGCGCAAATTCGTAAGCAGTTTTGTCCACAACTCAGCATTCTTGTGAAATATCCCCAATACAAACTGCAGCCAAAAACAGCAGCTGATAAACAAAAACAAGTCAAAATTCATTAAAGCTTTCAGCCTTGCGATCATTGCCGATATCGGCTAACCGGAACACGTTATACGTGTGAGTGCCCAAAAGCTATGGTACGTACACCATGAAAGAGCTGGGTTGGGATGAAATGATGCTCCTAGGTATGTCCGCACTTGCCCGTAGCAAAAGGTGCGGGTTAGAGTCTCTTAAGACGGTTTTATTCCAACCTAAACCTCATGAAACAACAGCCGTGAGGAGAAAAATGTCAAATTTGATCGCAAATTCGAAAATGAACTCAAAATTTTGCGATGGAAATGCCAAAATTTTTCTTTGCTAATTTTCACGAAGGATCGCTTTTCCTATGTCTCCAAATGATACAGCCACCTCGTGTTTTTTCGTTGTAATTCTCATTTTTCGTTGATGAAACTTGATGGCAAGCATCAATTTATTCTTTTTAAGTTTTATCCCGTGAAGGAGACCATCTCTTATGGTTAAAAGGAGCAAATGTCGCAAAAAAAGAAGTAAGCGCCAGTGGTCACATTGCGCGGAAGTTATCGAAAGCTACGAAATGATAAACAATTTCTTCTTGCATGCCGTAGGAAATAAAGCTGAAAAGGGCTCTGAAAGCTCCTCTTTGCTTTTTGATCAAGATTAATGCGGAATTATGAAAATAACATCCAATTTCATCAAGCCGTGCTCGAATTAGAGTCTTCTTTCGAACTTAATCTTTTACTGATAGTGCTTGGTAAGTAGTGAAGAACTTCCAAGTTCGCTCTCAAGCGGAAAGTGAAAATGGCAGTGTTTCTGAAAGAAACCAACAAAAACCGGGACATTTTTTGCGAGGAAAGAGAGCTAAGCCAAGGTTGGCTTGGCTGGCTGTAGCATTAGGAGGCGCACTGTATATAGCATTGTACTATCCATTTGACCTTGGACCTTCCCGATGAATGAACAAAAACGACAGCTGATAAATAATCACTCGCAAAATGAATGTATGTAGCTCTTTGTCGCCGGAAACGAGAAGCAACTCAACTGCCTCAAACTGGTAAACTTAGAATAAGAACAAAGATAACGGTTAGGCATGAGAACAGCCCAGATACAAGGGAAAGAGTAACAGTTTGAATAAAGATCGGTACCTGAAATTCTGTACTGTGCAGCGGTCCGGCTTCACCACTATCTTTAGAGACAAGCGTCATTCGACTTCCGCCCAGAGTCGATACCGATTCGCTACCATGAAGCAAATTTGCCTAAAAAGAACAGCATGTGCCTTCCAAAATTCAATAGCATACCTGCAAAGTAATAAGGCTGCATGAAAAAAATTAAGTACATAATAAAGATGACGCGGTTATCACCAAAACAAGCTCAAAGTCATGACTGAAACGCCCTGAAAGAACCGCGTGTATTTGCAAAACAGCACGAAAAACGGAAGATGACCCTCCCTACCTACTTATTTGATCACACGCCCACAAGTCACTCGCCTCACACACGGCTAAGCAGGGAAATGCAATTTTACCTTTTTAATTTTCTGAACAACATTGCTGGTAGTGAGGCCACTTCCACGAATCAACAGGGCCCCATTTTCACTTGTCCATGTGATCACCGGAAATCGGCCATGTTTGAAGCCCTTCGCGATTTTCAGGAATGAATCGTCCCCGACTGACGATGGTACGACGAATGCAGACGGATATCTGAACAAAGATCATTTTAGGAATTGCAAAAATTGAGGCAGCTGACTCGAACAAAAAAGAGCGTTCCCCGAACAACCTACGTCTTCACCACATCGTAATGAGCATTAGCATGTGAGATTCTGAATATCGAATCTATTCCACGTAAACGTAGCCGCTCATAATCATAAAGGTGATGACGATGCATATCTGCCGCATTTAGAGGATTGATTATGTCAGGTACATCTGAAAAGAGCAAATTCAAAGTATGGAAAACGAATGCAAGTTAACACATTGACGACAGCGTGCATTTTGG